GCACTTTCGATCTTGTTTCGCTAATTCCAACAACCTTGCTTCCTTCCTCTCTCGTTGTTCATCTGTGTCTTTATCCAGAAATTCAACTTTGGTAACATAAGATTCCTTTACAAAAGATAATAATTCTAATTCCTCCAGCAGAGTTTCAATTCTAAATTTCCAATTGCTGAAATTGGTTCCATCCAACAATGGTATTCGATACTTTTCATGTTCAGTTGCCATATTAATTCAATTTCATTAGCCAGGTAAAAAAAAATATTAACAAATTCCGTATTTAAACAGCCCTGGGCCCATAACCTGTAAATATGTGGTTTCCCTGGACACTAAATTAAAATACCTAGCTCAATAAAATAAAAGGGCAAACTGAATTATTAAACTCAACACTTTTTAATTGAACCAACTAAAGAAGACATACATTAAAACTATTATTGTTTTTAACAACACATTTAACAATTTAACCATCTGGTATTCATCATTGAAGTATAACATTAAAAACAGACATGTGGCAAATATTAAATTGCACTCAACACAATTCTTCTGTATTATTTGATGGCTCTTCACATTCAGTAGGATTCTCAGGCGATGGAAGCTCTTCTTGATTCATCAGGTCTTGGTGGTCACATTGAGCTTGTTGTAGGGGATTATTTTTCTTGTTAATACTTCTAACTAAATTAATGATAAGTTTGCCTATCTTATTTTTGCCTCTGTGATTGAAATGGAGACCATGATTAGTATACAGATGCCGGGGTAAGTCATGTAGAGGGAGAACTGAAGGTTTGATCTCTAGTTTGTTTAGCCTTGCTATGATCTGGCTATTTATTTTAGAAATTTTACCATCTAAATGGGGATTATCATGACGGAGAGATAATGTAGCAACAGTGAGGTTGGTATGCTTCAGAATGTTTGTCAATTTAACAACTTTCTGTGGTAGCTGATAGCAAAATTTGGATTGCACGTCGTTTGTGCCTGCAATCACAACAACATTATCTCTTTTGGTAAAATCTTTTGTTGCAACTAACACATCATGTGTGACCTGTTTGAAAGTTGCATTTGGTCTTGTTATAGTGGAAACTGAGAGAAAAGTTTGCTCCTGAACGTATCTGTTAAGGTCTTTCCCGTGACTATCAGCTAGGATAAGAACTCTCCCACCTCCCAAGTTGTTATTCTCACTTCTGTGTTGTTTTTGCAGAAATTGTTGTTGATTTTTATCTGAATAGTTGAAGCTTTTTGATTTTTGGGCATTTTTGTTCTTTTTGTTCTTACTTGGATTACTGCCTAAATTATGTTCATTCACTATACGGGGTACCGGTACATGGATTTGTGGACTGTTCTCTTCCAAGTTTGTCAAAACATCAAACTTGTTAGAAATTGTTGTAGATGAGGTGTTATAATGTTGTTGAGGCTGAATTATTGATGAGCTACCTGGTTTGTTGTGTCTCACTTTTGTCCATTGTGTAATACACTCATTAGCTCTATCACTTGCAGAGCCTTCATTTGTACTGTTAGGCCTAGTTGACATAAGCAAGCAAATATTATCATTTGTCATGAACACACTATTTTTCAGGATATATGCTAATCGAGATCTAATGTTAATGAGATCATTCTGGTTTACTGTGAGCAGTTTGGACAATAAAGCTGCATTAATTGAGCCATTCATGAGCAGTTCATTTTCAAATGTGAGGAACCCTACAAATAGGCATACATACGTGCCACAATCATATGCGTTCACTTGCTTAGGCCCATTAATGGAGCTAAATTCATATCTTGGTGCCTTCAGGTACGCTGATATTTTACTTGCGACCACTTTAGCATCATTAATGTTGCGGTTGTCCAGTGAGTCATAATAATGATACTTGTTATTCTTCTTCGTATAGACAAGGGTACTCCAGTGTGAGCCGCTCTCGCCATCAAGCTGCTTGGAATCATTTATAGGCATTATGACAGTTTCAAAATCCTTTATTTTTACTGAGTCCAAAAAATGTGAATAGTCGTTCAGGTTCTTAATAGCATGGCAGATAAGTGGATTCATAACAAAACATGACTTTCCATTAGATGATAGCAAACGGTTATTTATTATGTCAAAATACTTCTGAAGAGTTGTATCTGAAAGCCATTGAGTGCTAAGCAGCTCATCCATTGTGAACATGGTGTTATAGCTGTTTTCTGTTTGTGTCTGAACACAATTGGTTGTTATTAGTCCTATGGCTTTTGATGGTTGTTTGATGACATCCGATGTTTCAAGGCTTACATCAATATGCGAGTCAGTTTCATTGACAGATGAAATTGAACTATTCAATGAAGTGTCTATTTTCCTATTACACCCTTTAGCTGTAGAAAAATAAAAATCCTCCACTTTGAGGTTCAATCCTTTTTCTTGAATATATTTAGTGAGATCGTTCCTAGACCTAAAGAGTTTTCCATTGGGTGATTTAATATAAATGTCAATTTTTCCTTTACTTAGCCCACTTTTTCTTGTATGTTCCTCCCTAACCCATCCCTTGGGGAGACTATGATTGTTTGTAATTGTAACCATTTTATTTATTAGTTAAAATTAGATCTAGAGAGGGTAAAATACAAATTTAAAATATTATAATTTTCATTAAAATAAAGTATATATATTCCCAAATAATCAAGTAATTATATTGTTTTCAGCTCAAATATTAATGGTTTCTTGACCTACTAATAAAATTAGAGACCAGATAAGAATGTTTGTAAACATTAAAGGCCAACAGGTGCCTCAGCCTAGCTGGTGAGGGGCGTTATCTCTCCTGGTCAAAGGTCAGTTGCTGCACCTTGATCCGAACCGGCTTCTTATCTGTGCTCAATCCTTCTTCCAAGAAATATTCATGAAAAGTAAAATACTTTCTTTTGCTTTAAATGTGAATATCTTTTCATTAAATTGTTCTATTGAAATATCTACTTACTTATATAAAAGACAAATTTCAGAGGCACACTTTCACATAGGACAAAAGCATTAAACCTTTAATTTTACCACTAAAAACTGTAAAATACTGAGGAGCACAAAATCACATGGTTCAATTCCAAGCAAGCTTTGTCAATCACGCTGTTTTGTGTTGTTTCATTGGAATCCTGATGTGCGCCAAAGTATAAACTGTACGACAAAGTATAAATATGCAGCAATTAGCGGCTTTCGGTACTATAAACAGTGAAGCCAACTTTGTCGGGTGACTGTAGGAAAATAACTATTTCCTGGTAATATTCTTTTTCCAATTATAAAATGGGGTTTTATATAAAAAATTAAATTCTCAAGGTTATGTTTACTGTTCAGTAAACACACACTATGGGTATTTACTCAAGGGAGGTACAGAAGAGGCTTCGATGACGTCAGCTGTCAGATCTCCTCTTGAGGGAACACCATTCCCGCAACAATACGGAATTCAGTCATCGGTCTCGGTGGTGTAGTGAATAGCGTGTCGGGCTGATAATCCGAAGGTGCCGGGTTCGAATACCGCCGGCAGCACTAACTTTTTGTCAACAATTTTTTTCATATCAGCAAGTTTGGTTGGTTTGGTTATGACAGTTTAATTTTATAATTTGTCTTAATTTTATAATTAACTAGGCCTAATAGTGAAGTAAAAACTACGCGCTGTGCTCTCTACTACAACGCTGTTCACGGGGGAATTTTGAACTAAACTATGATGTCATCGTTGCCTCACTTATACCTCCCGTAAGTCAGACCCACACTATGCTAAAAACAGCAAAATTAGCTTATGGCTATTTATATTTAGATTTACATTAGGCGCATTCTGGGAACATGTCCCGGTGCACCAGTGCAGATTAACCGGTGACTTACTCACCGGTCTGCCCCGGGGCAAGAGTCTTGGTATCCCATAACGGTTAGTCACCGGTTTACGGTACACATTGGATTTACACATTGGATTTACACATCCACCTACTATTTGCTTTATAATATTTAAATCAAACAAACAGACTTGCCCTCACGGAATAATTATTTGAAAATTATTCGTTTATTACGTAATATAACCCCTCATTGAACAAATTATTCATTCATTGCGCAACATAACCTATAAAACTAATGAACCTTATTCGATGGACCCGCCATCTTACCGTAGCTGCATGCTGTTGTCCAAGAAACTGACCAATCAGAATCCGCCGGTGTATTATGCACCGTACAATTTCTCCGGTGCAAAAATTTTGCACCGGTGGAGGAAAAAGAGGAAATAGCTGTCAGCTAGGTTAACTCACCGGTCTCCCAGAACGACACATTTTGTGCACCGGTACATGTTCCCAGAACGCGCTCATTGTTTAGCAGTAAAAACAGCTGATTTAAATCATAAATATAAATTATATAGAGACACTAGCACATATAGTGGCCAAAAGGAGAACTGATAAGAGAGCTAGAGAAAATCAGCCGATAGTTCTTCCCTTGCTCTAAATCAGAGTTTGGAAATAATAATTTGAACAGAACATGCCTAGTTTACAACAATAATTTATTGAACCTTATAGAACTTGTGACTGACTTGAATGCTAGAACATTCAAAATATAAAATGTTCAATGAGCCAGGCCAACTGGTTACAGTAGAACCTCGATAACAAAACTCATGGGGATTATTAGATAAGACTTGTTATCAAGGTTAACTTGTTATCAAAGTTAGCAATAAAATGTGATTAGGGTTAAATGAATTCAAAGTGTTTTTTTTTTATAACACTTTGTCATCAAGGGTGACTTGTTACCAAGGTTCCATTGTGTTAATATCGGAGTATTATACCGAAACCAGCCAGACTACTTGGCTATAAGTTTATGGCTGTACACAGTTGTTACCTTAAGACCTGAATATGAAAGTGTTTGCACTATTACTGTACCAAAATCATGTACAAAATTTAAAAAAAAACTCAATAAAATAGATCCATTTGCCATTCCAACCATCATTAGAGCTAATAGGAAGGAGGAAGCTAACAATCACAATTTAATCTGTACCAACTTTTTATATCATAGTACATGTTGGGTGTTACATTTGACCAATAACACAACAAAATATCAATGAGTTATCCAAAGAGTTCAGTATAAACTATAATAGTCTCAAGTTTAGTTAGGTTAAAATAACAAATATGGTAAAAATCATAAAAAAAAAATTTATTTACAAATAAGGGATTACAGAGTCACTGTGTACCTACTGCCACTAGGTTACCCCTTGGAAGACATTGTAGATTCAATATTGACGAACAAATAGTCGAGTACTTGGCTGGTGGCTCAGCGTTCTCACTGAAACAGTGTGAATTCAATGATGCATGTTTTCATAATCTTACAACATATGGAAACATTAATGTGGTGAGATGGTATAAAAAACTAAAACAAATTATACTCTTGGAATGAATGCCATTCATTAGCTATTTATTACAATAGACAAGAGTTGTGTAGAACAGGTAGAAAGGACTGAATCACTTCTATTGCTTGAAAATAGAAAAGTAAAAACTAACATTTCAGACCAATGTCTAACTAGTGTACCGGGATTTTACTGTAATTTTATGACACAAATTGTTTGTCAATTGTGCGTTATGAATTTGTTAAAAAGTGTAAATAGAAATTAATCTCAAAGTGGTTGAAAACAAAATAACAAGACCTAAGATGTTTCTAAAACCACGAATGTAGCGAGAATAGTGAATACCACAGTGATACAATCATAACTGGGACTAGGCTATTTTTTTACTATCCCTGCTCTTTGTTTTTGTTAACGATGTCTCTGTCAACAGTTTTGGATTTTCAGTTCGGTTGTCAGAACAAAATTTCTAAACTGGATGCATCATCTGATATTTGAAATCAAATTCGTTAAATCCTTTTGTCTTCTGCTTTTGACAGATGAAGTTCACTGCCTGGCCCGTACAGTTCGGCCAAATTTTCTGTGAGCACGGACGGGTCGCTACTAGCCGAACTAAATCATTCGGGTACCGGTTACCCGGCAGTGATGGGAGTAGGGGCAATACACTAATGTTTTCACAAAAGTACCCCCGCCAACCCCCTTGCCTGGATGGGACCAGGCAAGGGACTAGATCTGGACGTGCGCACAGAAACGTTGGCCAAACTGTAACCAGTGTTACTGTTCCAAGGTAAGGGGGCTACAGGGCTAAATCCCTCCTACCTTGGACCCTGGAAAAATAAATAAACATTCATCTTGCTTAAAAACGTATCATAGGTTTTTGGAAACAGTTCCAGATATTAAAAAGGTACGTGGATGGTGCTACATAACAAGTGCAAAACATGAGGCAGTGATCGCAATTGACTCCAACAAATCAGATTCTCAGAGCATCTGCATTAGCCACTCGCTGTATTAAGATGAGTAAAATTAGACCAAATAACAGCAACATAAAATATGTAATTTACTTATCTTCTTACCAAATAAATTATATTCTTAAAGAGAGCATGAAAGAAACAAAATGAGTCGACTCACCTTTGAACGGGTTTAAAGTGCAAAGAAGAGTTCCACAATATGACAGAGCCGTCCAATGAGGCAGATGCGAGGATGTTGCTGTCTTTGCTCCAGTCCAGAGCTGTCACAGGCTGGGAGTGACCTCTCAACTCAGCCAACACTCCTCCAGATGCCAGATCCCACACTTTCACCTTCTTGTCCTCCCCTAAACAATGTAACAAGCTCAGTGACAAACAGACGTGTCTAGTGGGACAGACTTGAGGATGTTGCTGTCTTTGCTCCAGTCCAGAGCTGTCACAGGCTGGGAGTGGCCTCTCAACTCAGCCAACACTCCTCCAGATCCCACACTTTCACCTTCTTGTCCTCCCCTAAACAATGTAACAAGCTCAGTGACAAACAGACATGTGTCTAGTGGGACAGACTTGAGGATGTTGTTGTCTTTGCTCCAGTCCAGAGCTGTCACAGGCTGGGAGTGGCCTCTCAACTCAGCCAAGAATCCCCTGAACAATCTCAGTACACCCATGATTTTATCTTTCTATCGGCCTGTTGAATTGGTCGAATCTTCCCTGTTCTGCGACAATATCAAACATAGGCTATTGTTCTGTTTTGGGGTTTTATACAATTAACTTTTTATTCGACATTACTCTCGGACACTGAGAAATAATTCCAAATATATTCCAAGTTCTGTTCAATCACTGAAACCTTTTGACAAGTTCTATCATTGACTTATCGAAGCTATTTGGACAAGCTTTTACCAATATTTTATACAAGAAGAATGTAGCTGAATTAGCCAATTGCAGATGACGCTATAGATTAGAATTCCATTTCCTGTCTTGTTTTTTGTTTCTGAGGGTTGATGGGACATACAACTTAAAATAAGTCGTCCTATCAGTTTGACTTACTTAAAAATTGTAACGTATTAGACTGATATCAGTTAAATTTACATCAGCACACACTGTTGGTTCAATTCGACTTCGTTCATTTGATCTTAAAACCCGGGAAATGAAATGTCCAGCTCTGTATATAGTCCTAACCTGGACAAGAATTTACTCACAGTTTTAGGGGGGGAATAATTACCTGCAGACGCGAGATGTTGGCCGTTGGGACTGAAGGCTAGAGTGAGAACACTTCCAGAGTGACCTCCGTAGACCCTGACTAGACTGCCATCAGTGACAGACCACAGCCTTACAGAGCGATCCGCAGAGCCTGTAGCCACATAACTGCTGTTGGGGTGGAACTGGACACACTAAAACATAATATACGAGGGCTATCTAGAGAGTAGATTATTTTTTTTATTAAGAATAAAGAAATTGTAGGAAAAGCCACACTTAAATCCTACTTATCAATGTCACTGTAAAGATTTTAACATTTATCATATTAATGAATAATTATACAATTCCTTCCTTGTAAAATTCTAAAGCTTGCTACTTCAACCCCTTTGTCACTTGTTGCTTTAGCTGCACGTCATCATCGAAGATCTGCTATGTCAGCTGCTTCTTGATGGAACCAAGTGGTAGTCACATGGTGGAAGGTCCGGTAACTACAAGGTATGGTGGACGGGGAAACGACTCCCAATTAAATTATTCCAGAACTTCTCTTGTGTGGTTGTGGATTGTTTTACCTTTCTGAGCTGATTGTTATGCCTCGTTCCATGAAATCCACAAGAACAACACCCTTTCTGTTCCAAAAAACATACACCATAACCTTCCTTGTCGACATCGTTTCCAAACATTTTCATGGAGAATTTGTGTTCCCCCGTTCCATCGACTACAATTTGGTCTCACAGTTCACATGCTGACAGTGTATATGATATGTTCTTAAATGAACTACAGATTTCATTCATTGTTGTTGCAAGAAATGAGAGAGCGAATACCTGACCAAAAAGATGTTGCAATAGTTAGTGCAATGTCTTCAGATTCCTAAGTCTAGTTAAGATGATGTAGTTTGTGTTTTAATTTACTACTAGTCTAAGGATTTTATGACCACCCTACGAAGATGAGGTTGCAACTTCCTATCATGTAGGAAGCGCTACAAGGAGGAAGAAACAGCTGCAAGTTCACAATTTATCATTTAGTGCTCTGTGTCAGAAAGAAAAAGATCAAGAATAGCACTTAAACAAGGATATTAGGGGAAACAAAAGCAGGAAATATCATAGAGCTTTATTTTAAAATTAAAAAAAAATGTAATTTGCGATACATGCTACATGTTAACAATACAGGGTTACTTACATTGACATCTTGACAATGGCCAGCAAACATCCTGAGGGGATAAGTCCTATCAAGGCTCCACAGTCTGGCTGTGCGATCATGTGATCCAGTGGCAATGTACACTCCCAGCGAACTGACAGCTACACACCACACTGCATAGTTGTGACCTCTGGAAACAGACATTTTTTCATTTTTTGTTTATGTCCAACCTTCACATGCTAGAAGTAGGCTCTAGCCTGGATCCGTTTTCACTTTACTTCAGGTTAGATCTAGATGGTCTATGCATCACTTCGATCAAAAATCCATTGGTGGTTGGCAGGATTTGAGCCCGAGACCGAGATCCCACACTCTACCTCTTTTTATTTAGCTCACTCCCCAATTATAGAAAAAGAATTGTAAACCAAATATCTGTTTACCAGGATTTAGAATAAAAACAATAATATCAAGTCTTTTTACATCTTGTAATGACAAAATTTTAGATTTAAAAAACTTCTAAGGACAGTGCCACTGCCACACTATCCCGTTTAGCGGGATGCGTTTTTACCGCATTGACATTACCCTGTCACACCTTCCTGCTCTACCACAACATACATTAAGTGAAGAGCGCGAGCATCACATGCACTGTTGATAGCGACAACAGTAGGGATAAACTAGCAATCACATGGACAAACGTGCAGCACAACGGGATGGTGTTGCTGCTCTCATTTAACTGCATGTGTTTCACCTGTCGTCCCGCTACCCCGCAGCAGCATGCAGTGGATCCCATCAATATTCAATGGTGCTGTTAAGCAACCTCAAAAATGTGACTGCACCCATTAAAACCCAAGAGTTCAAATCATCCCGCCAAACGGGATAGTGTGGTGCCGGCCTAACAGACAGACAGAAAAGTAAATAAAGTAAAACGTATAAAAATACATGATACCTGTAACAGAAAATACCTGTTGTAGCGTATTAAGAATTGACCTGTCCATCAAACATCTAACAACACTTCGTATGGTCACCTACCTCCATTTAAGCCCCTTGTAAGTACGTTTAATGTGGATTTCACACGTATGGGGATCGAACAAGCACATGTAGAAATACCTCAATGCTACACTCGTCTGTAACGCTTTATCCAACTGAGCCACCAATTGGTTCCGGCCGAGTCAAGTGCTACCACAGTTATAATAGTGACACTAGTGCTTTCGGGTGTCATTCAAAGAATTACTTTGGCGCCAGTCTGTGTTTCGGCCTCGGCCGCCTGGTACTTGGAAAGAAGAGTTCTGTATGCTTCTTAGGCTAATGGGTTAATGCAAGGGTCACCAACCTTTTTCACTCAAGGGCCACATTGTGAACTTTTAAAGGAGAGGCCAGTCAAAATTTAGTGGAGAAAGTTAGGCCAGGCCCCCTCCAAATAACCCATAACTAAGTCATCTTTTAAGCAAACAACAGTGTTTTTCTTGCTTAAGTGTATTTACCGTTTAGTGAGTCAACAGTATAAGTGTTAATATATATGTTATAATAAATGGTGTCCAGGTGTCCAATGGAAGTTATAGAGGTTTGACAGCATTAGTGAGTTTAAAAATTTCACACGCCACCTGTTTTGGATCGTTTTACACTAGAGAAAAGGAGGAAATACATATATAATATTTTTTAAATCACTAGGTTAATGGGTTGAAATACAAACAAATAATAATTAAAATTTTGTAACATTTTCCCACCTGTAAATAGCAGCGCAGGAGTAGTCAGAGAGTTTCCAAGCTCTCATAGATGAGTCGTGTGACACTGATAGTAAGACATCGGCATCATGAAGGAACTCAACTCCTTGGACTGGACCACAATGTCCTCTCAGACTGCTCCATCTCTGCTCTCTGTGTTTAAAAAAGATTATTGTAGTTGTAGACCATCGTTGTCATGTCTTGCAGTCATGGTGCCATCGTAGACAATGTCTGGAGGTCACGGTGCCATTGTCGACATGTCTCGCGGTCACAGTGCCATCGTCGACATGTCTTGTGGTCACGGCAACTTTTTTCCACATGACTTGCGGTCACAATACGATCGTCGTCCCGCGTTCGCAGCTCCATCTTAAAAATCTACTGCAATCACGGCATCATTGTCACTTGTGACCATGTGAAATTGCTGACGCGATCGTCTGATCCCGTTTCAATGATCTGGAATATTTTTTCCTCTAAAATTTCAGGACCTGTCCATATAAATTAGGCTATTAAAAAAATAGTGAATATATCAAATTTGAAAATTTCAAGAAATACAAAATTCACGCATAATTCTCAGTTTGGCCTTGATTTTTTCTTTGTAGGTGGACAACCTGTTCGAGTTATCAGGCTAAAACACACACATATGTACACAAATATTGGAAGTATTAATCAATCAAATATCCTTTATATATAAAGTTTAGACAATATGACTTGAATAGCGTCATTAAACTAAACCTTAATAAAAGTTGAAAACTAAATAATTTATAAATTGTATCTTCTATATATTTAATACACAGTTGTAACACTGTTTTCTCAGTAATTACTGGACCGATCTGCAAGATTTATGTCTCAAATTAAAGGGGATAGTGTGTAGATTTGCCGAACTTCCTTAGAATTTACGTTTTTTCTAAGGGCTACGACCTACAGCCCTTTAAAGGTCGAGTCAATACAATTCTTATTGAAGAATATAATACTTAGTTAATAAATTATTCGTCAGCTGTAATGTTTGTCAGACATTTGTTATTATTTTTATAAACTCACTTTCAGTATGCAATTATATAAACACAAGATTTTGATCAAGGAAAGTGTATTTGTTAACTTATTTTTGAAATGTTTTAGTTTTCCTGCAAAGTGATCTGAAGGAAAGTGGTTATTGAGTTTAAGTTTGAGTATGGAATGTGAAATAATACCCATAGTAGGGAACGGAAACTTATTGTTTTGAGTCGGTCGTCAGTTTTCAAACCGTGCACGCGCTCTAAATGTTTTCGTGTATCCGTCCTGTGCTTATATGTGTATTATTTATTCAACCCCTGACGCAATGCAAATGAAGACAATTCGTGTTACATGTGACAAGACTATAGTTTAGTGTACCACTACGCACCTGACGATGGAGTCATCTCCGAAACGGCCATAGTGGAATATTACCCCTGATTGCGTTGACGGTAAGAACCATAGATATTATTATTATATTTGCACGCAATCTGCCACACTCAAGAATATATTATTGTTTTGATCAATATAATTTATTCTCTACGGCCACTAAGAATAATCATGGGCAAATCCGCTTGCAAGTTGTACATATAATTGCTAATGAGTGGGAAACATACAAACATTTTATAGTAGGTGACGAATCTTACTCAAGGTCAGTGTTAGACGTTCAGTGGTACCAAACTTTACCTTCTCGAGATGGCGAGTACGCTGGAATACGTGGAACTACAATATATCAGTGAACTTTTTTTTCAAGTACACAGGGAAGTTGCTTGAGAAACTGTGACTTACCATTCGGTTCCGGCGGAGAAGTATGTGACTTGATGTTTAATGGCAATGTTGACTCAGGTCATTATAGCGTTATAAAACTTTATAATTAACCCCAGGGTGTGAAAAGTACAAAAACAAAAAGAAAAGGTAATCATTAACCGGGCGTAAAGAGACATCCGAACGAAAAAAAATCAACATTTTGAGTTTATAGAAAATCTTATCAACAGCGACTATAAAAAAAATTTAAGGGTTGAAAGAGACAAAAACTATTTGAGTAAAATATAATACAAATCTGAATTTGAAATGGCCAGTTCTAAGTCTCACTTGAATCAACATCTTTCTGGTAGTGGTAGTCTACATTGTTTTAAAATCCACGACTCCTTTTCCATCAAATTGGACCGTTAATACCCTCTAAACACTGGACAAAGTATGCCCAACTTTATATATACGACGTAAACACAGCTTTTACTCACAGTATGGGTCAAAGATTCGTGAAATGCGACCAACTGTTGATGCGTGATTTACATGTAGACTAAGTGACTATCTTTATTCCATACAACAAATGTAATGAAAAAAAAACGACGAACATAGGAATATACTTGAGCAAATTATCTAAATATCATAAATAGCTGCTTATTAGGTTATCAGCATTGCCCAGTTCGTATACTATTTATTTTTCAAATGAGACTCGAATTAATATAAAACATTCATTTGGTTAAAATAATATATCGGTTTGATTAACATAAAATAGTTTATACAGGCAAACTATCAGTTCTATTTCATGTAAAAAATTAAACAACCCCTAAATAAAATACAAAGATAAACAGTATTTGTTAATTATTATTTCTTTTATTGCTGACAATATTCCCGTGGCGGAGCACGGGCGGTTAACTAGTAGGTATAATACAGTAATTGCTTATTCCCTAAATGAAAATCTTAAACATTGAATATTTTTCTCAACTTGTACAAGTTGAACATCAGTATTCAACCAATATATCCATGGAGATGTAGATGGTAAGTTAGTACTCACTGGACAAAGTGGTCTTGAGGAGGAGTGTTGGTGGCCAAAGGAACAGTTGAGTAGTGGGTGGACCCAGGGTTGATCTTGGACTCTGACAATGTCCACAACTTGAGTAGAGAGGATGAGTAGCCAGTGGCCATCAGTTTGCCTGACCTGGACACCCTGGCACAACACGCACTGGAAAATACCAAACATTCATTACTTGGCATGTACTAGATGATACAAGTCATTTTTTTATGCCCCACCTTCACATTATAGGACAGTTGGCTCCTAGAACCGTTTTCATATTACTTCAAGACCTAGGCAGTTGTGGCATTATAACTTACATAAAACCCATTTTGGTTATTGGTGAAATTTGAACCTACGTCGTCAGGGACTTAAGTCATGCACTGTACCACAAGACCAGCGTCCCTATGTGATAAATAGTACACCTATCACAGTTTGCTCAACATATCTATTAAGATTTTAAATACCAATCATAAACTAATATTAAACTTAATATTAGTATATACAAGGGCTATCAGTAAATTAAGGTCTCCTTGAGCTCCCGTCGCATCTATGCTAGCTTTATTAAGACCAACACCGTAATCCTAACTTCATTCACTACAGTACTATTTCAGCAGGTTCCCACCCCTATTGAACCTCAGCAACAGTCAGACTCAGACAGTGACAAATGTGACGTTGACAGAACACACACGCGCTACTGTGCCAGTCTACTACTGCCGTACAGTGTCGTCTACTGTCCGCCAAGCGAATGTAAATAGTTTAGTTTGGTGTTAAAGTAAATAAATTATATTTTAAATAAGTAAACTGTGCTCCTGACGATGCCACACATACTGGTGAAATGTTACATTGGCCTAAAAAACTTCAAGAACCTCGCAACCACAAAGTAATATTATATTGTTCTTGAAACTGGGAATACTTGAAAAAGATGATTAAGAGATTTAGTCACCTCTCGGAGTTGTTGAGTGTGTACAGCAGTAGGGGAGGAGGTGGAGTAGGACTCGCCCTCACTAGTTTGATAGCTTCTTGTAAATGTCGCATCTCTTTGTCGTCATGAGACTGTTGATACAGCGACTCCAGGTAGTCTGCATTCTGCAAAAACCAGTTTGAAATGAACAACAATCCCTCCGCCACAGCAAACCTCTAGAATAAGTGGATTCCCATTTACCTAACTAGATTTCCACTCAAATATTCCCTTAACCCTGTAGTCGCAGACAGCTCGGAATTATTTACGTACCCTCTGTCTCTCCCGCTCGGATGGCCACTAATGGTGGCCACTCATATTTCTCTGCCAACTCGGCAGCCATTTTGCCAGCTGTGCTTCGGCAGCTTTGAATTATTTTCTCGAGTTGTGTTCCAAATATGACATCAATCACTTTAAATAATGAATTAAATAATTATGAGTTTGTTAGAATGAATGTTATTAACAAAAAACTTAATTTAATAACCTCAAAAATATTTTGAACTATAACTTCAGGCTCACTGTTATAGATAGATTAAGTAATAATAAAACAAAAATACCATATTTTACTAGGCTCTCAGGAGTCAATTATTTTATTTAAAAAAAAAACAAACTAAATTATGCTATATGACAAAATTTGTGCCTTAAGTCTAATGTATATATTCCTCCCTGTAATGTGAACAAAAATTTTATTCAGATAAAATAAAAATTTAGCTAAAAATATCAAATATTTTATCACTCTACACACACTGCACTATGTGTTGTGGTTGAATCTTCTGCATTGGTTTGGTAAATAAGAAGCAAAATGAAATAATGTATTTTAATCATTTTATTGTGAAAAACGAGGAATTTGTATTGGCCAAAAGATACTAAATGAAATTTTTAGAAAATAATACTGGATTACTGGTAAAAAGAACAAAAACATCAAGTATATCTTAAATCTATCTTTGTAGAGTTCCTACCTTTTAAACACCATTTTATTACCATAAGTAAGTAAGTTGTTAGGCCTGAAACTGGGAAAATATTCCATAACATTTAAAGAGGCTAGGTACAGCTGAATTAAATGGTCAATAATACATAAAATATCAAACTTATTTAAAACATACTAATAATTGTTTTAAAAACATACTAGTAATTACAAAACCGTGCACAAATCTAAAACTGCGCAATCACTATAACTAGTTAAAAAGATATTGTGTAATAACTAATAAAGAAAACTGCCCTAAAAGGTTATAAATACTACCTCAATCCAACTTTGTAAACACTGAAACAAAAAGTAGTGACATGACGTGATGCATAGCGTTGGATTGATACGTTTTTTTTCCTTTTCTCGGCGGTAAAAAGGCGGGAATTGCATTTGCTGATGTAGTTTAAGAGTTACTCAATAGATTGCAGCACTCATCAGACATCCTACTATACCTATTATTAAACAAATATAAAAAAATTGTTGTGGGCACTGGCACAGGCCATCCGAGCAGAAGTCAGATTTTGTTATGGGCACAATGTGTGGCCATCCGAGCTGTGAGACACAACGTTGCCATTTTAACTCTGAGCTGACGCGATAATGGCGATGGCCACTATATGTGAACATCCGACTGCGTAGGACAGACGTTAAATGACCTCTCCGAGCGCAAAGGGTTAAAATTGAGAGATTTGTTTTCTATTTAAATAGCGTGAGTTTTAATGAATAGGTACTTATGTTTCCTGCTACAGGGAAGGTAATGAGACATTTTTAAAATTTAAATGTTGATCTAGCTAGTGTGAAATAAACAAAATTTTCAAATTGCTTAAAATATATTCATAAACAAACTACAACAGTTTATTTATTCAGGAATATTAGGAGATCCATAAGAATAACATACCGTAGCAATTTTTAACTAATACTTTTTTTAATTTTCTCTACAACTGTTAGGAATACAGTAACGCTTCAATTCTAAGCTCTAAAAAATTGTTAAGAAAGAAATTTGAAAATTTTATGTTTCTAGGGTCAAAAGTGGGAAAACCCAATTTTTACACCACAAAACCCCTGTTCCCATAATCCGATTGATCATGCTGGTTTGCCAACTCGTTCGAATAAACGTAGGTTTACACACTTGCACCAAACTTCATCAAAATGGGATAAATTTTGCTCCAGTTATCAAGCTATAAAACACACATATATATATGAATGTAAACGGAGGTTTTTTTTGGCCTCTGGGGACCTCAAAACAAAAATGTAAATCGGTCCCAGGTCCAGGTTTTACCATCAGACTTGAGGTAATAGCTTATTCTCTAAACGGGTAATTGGCTAATAAATGGTATCATCAAACTGACACATTCACCCCTTATAATCGGTAGAGGGGAGTGACGTTGATATTTTATGGGGAAAATCATAAAGATTGACTTTTAAAACTAATTTAAATGGTAACATAATTTTAACATTTGGTAAAGTCTGACCCACTGGGAAGGAGACAACGAGGGAGACAGAGAAAACGCTGGACGGATGAAGTAAAGAAAGATATGGCCAGGATGGAAGTTAATGAAGATACCGCAAGAGACAGTGCGACACGGAGGCAGTGTGTTGGTGAGGCCAAGTACCACTTAGGGTACAAATGGCCATGGGAGTAAGTAAGTAAGTAAATTACTGATTTTAGGGTAATAAATCTCTTATAAAACACTAGACAAACCTCATCAGAACTGATATCAGCCATATCATCATCACTTTCCAAAACACTCTCACTTGTTTGTACCTCAATATCAAACCAGGTCTGGAGCACCTGTAAAAGATTAAACCTTAAATAAATCATAAATAAAACACTTACTCTCTTACTGTCATGCAAGTTACTATTAAATAGTAAATACATTTATCAATTACAAGCATCCGGATGCACAAAAGGAAATTAAAATTCCCTGTACTTTTTTGTCACAATTGATGCACAAAAGGAAATTGAAATTACCTGTACTTTTTTGTCACAATTCATTTGGTCCTCTGCTAGATCATAAGTTTTAAAATGACACTTGAATTGTAAAAATTGGTTAAGTAGGACGGGTGAAAAAGGGATGTTACTGAGATAACCATTATTGTAATCTATATAATTAATACGCTACATGAAACTTTGTCGGATGAACTCCTCCGCCATTTCTAAACCGATTTTATCCATTGACGTCTCATTGGAAAGAGTGTGTCGCGTAGATTTGCAAACTGGCCTTACATTTTTGAAAAAGTCCCTTGGACTCTGCCCCAGTGGCTTTGAAAGTTCCCATGTTAACCTTATGGAGAACATAATTGTTTACATTTTCATCAGCTGTATAATTTAATTGCTGTTATTTATTTTTCAGTTCAATGAAACACATGGGTACATTTACTGATTTTGTTCAAATTAAATATTTACTATTTTAATTTACGTTAGTACATATTACAATGTAAAAAAACGAGAAAGCCTGGACAGTTTGATATATTTTACCAAATAAGAAAAATGAATTGACATACTAGTACTGTATTTCTTGAGAAATCATTGAAAGAACCAATTTGCCCATGGAAACATAGCAAAGTCATAGAACGCCACTAAGTAGAAGAAATAGAGATTTAAAAACAATTTACTATCCTTATCAACCTATATAATGAAGAACACCTACAATATGAAGAGTCCAACAAAAAAGTGAACAAGGATTTTAGTCGAAGTGCTACTATTTTGTAGAAAACACGGACTTAACTTTATGATGATTGGCAAACCATCTGAACGACATTAGACCTTTCAATTCTGCATTTTTTTCAGGTAAATATAATTTACGATATAACAGTAACTAGCCAATTGATGCAAATAAAATTGCGACAGAGAGGTTATGCAGAAAATCAGGTAGTTCTTAAAATCATGTAAACAACATGTTATCGCTATAAAAAATTGACTGAAATTTGTAAACGTACTGGCAACAATGGGTGGTGCCATGCAGACTACATTATCATTGACGAAGATCAACACAGACAACCTAATACGGCTATAAGTGGGAAACATTTAAAAAACCAGATCAGCTTTTGAAAAATTATAAAATATTTACAAGAGATGTTGATTATATGGAACTGTTAGGTACGTAAATCTATGAGTTGAGTCTTTTAAACTCATCGGAAATTATGATGACTATTATTTGTTCTGAAATAACTACTTTACTTCTTTGCAATTGCTCGATTTCGAGCAACATGTATACTAGTAAGTACATTATTAGCCAAAATATACAGTCCTGAAACTGAATCAGCTGTTACCATTTCAGTAGGCTACTGTTTATTTTGGCTAATAAATACTGTATATAATAATAGATTTTAGATTTGTTTAAAAATAAAAATGGAGTTCTTACATTAAATTATTATAGGTAGCTTAGAGGTGAAAATCCTTGAACCAACCTGTAGAAGAATCACATGGCTCTGTGTTGCCAAATATTTTTTTAGAGCTGCCATGGTAGTAGTGCTGATTTTCATTTGATACTTACATGACCTAAAACATACAGACACGTTTAGTTTGTTTACGACTTATTAATTAAAGTGCATGTTGAAAACAATTATCCGTACCTGTGTCACATTTATTATTACGTCGCTTGCAATACAAACGGGGTTGGGGGTAGACTAGTGACATTTACTGCCAATGGTGATGCTATTAAACAATACAACCAGAGTAAAAACTTTAAACACATCAAAATTATGATATTGCTGAAGTACAGTAAGCCAGATGAAAACAAGTAAGTAAACATTATTGTAGTTTACACAACGTTTGTGTGAAGATAGTGTTAACGACAAGAGTAGAAAATTTAAGGTAGGAGCCTTTTTGTTTATAGCCTCTCATTGCCATGGACAGTGATGCAACGAAACATTGTACCAAACACTAATTGCACCCCTAAGACTCAACAATTAAATTGGCCTTCAGTTGATTAGTTGAAGCCCGATCATTAAATTTTTTTATGTCTTCTCTCTCAATTCTTGAACTTCATTATAGTAGATAAGAGTAGTTTGTGCACTATTTATTCACTATTGTAGTTGCCATTATTTAACTATTTATTTATTTATTATATTTGCCTGTTTTTGTGCATGGTGTGATTTAAGCTAAGTCAACCCAGTTTACTAACTGGGACTGTTAGCCTAACTGATTGTTGCCAGATGATTATTATATGACTTGTCTGATTGCATGTAACTGCATGTTTAAAAGACCAAATAAAATTCTCATTCTCATTCTCATTGGTCCATTACCCGTGTTGTTATGAGTAAAACTATGCTGTTATGAAAGTAAACAATGCTGTTATTGGATACCTTTCAATTCTGAGAACTGAAATAAAACGGCTAACTTTAAAAAACAGTCATAGGTATAAGTGATTAATGTGATTATGCAAACATTTAAGTGGAAGCAATCAGATTTTGGTAGGCCTACAAGTAATTTATGAGTGAAAATTTAAAAACGTACGTTTTCATGTCCCTGGCCTTTTACTTTGTAGATACTGGATTTTTAGTTTATTATTATGTGTTTTAATATTTTTTGGGACGGGGGCAACATGTTACACACATTTATTTGGTTTTAAATAGGTTCTAGGTATTTTTTTCGTATTTTTAAAGTCTCGAAATTCACGACCATGACGTGTCCCTAGGGCACATTTTCCAACTTTCACACTGTTTTTAGACTAATTATTCATGCCGAAATATATAAAGCCATATTTTTATGTCATCAATGGTTATTAAACTTACAAAAAAGGAGCATGTTATAATTTTATTGTCATTACAAACTGACTACCATGACAAAATAAGTCTGTCCCTCGATTTGGCGTCACGACCATTTGGGAAAATTTTTCAACTTTGGAGTACGATAGTGGCAAGCCTGGCGTCGATGGAGTCAGTTGGTTTTAGAGACTAGTTCGGGGTGTACGTCAGGATTGTAGTGCCGGTCGTTTTGAGTTGAAAGGAGGAATTACAAGATTAATAAAGGAAAGACTGTGTTTTTTGTAATTTTGGTGTGTCCATGACCGTACGTAGTCATTCGATGAAGTAGACATGGTGTTAATTTTTGTTTATAAGATATTTCAATTGCTAGATTAACGTAGAAGTCCACTTTGTATCCTCGAACATGAGGTACAGGGCTACCGCCAGAACAGAGCCAAATAACACGTAATTTCACGACCAAAGTTTCACGACCATCGCGGGTTTTTTCACGACCAATCCAGCATTATGGATTATAGTGTGTTTGGTCGTGACAATAACTTTAATATAATTGTAAATTGAACAGTTTAGTTCAATTGAAACGAAACACATATTTTTATTATAACTAACAGGATAATTGAAGGATTGTTTAGAAAGATTTAGATTGTTCCAGACAATTCACAACCGTACCGCTTGTCCCTGACCATCACGTTTATGATTTCTATCATAAAAATTTCAAAAATTAAAATATCGTCATATTTCAATGTTTTATACACAAAAGAAGCACACCTCTATACAAACATAACGATTTTTCGGGTCTCAGGTAAGTTTCTTCGGAGTTATACAAACTTAAAAAGATTTTATTGGCTTTTTTTCAATTTTTTGAGTTTTTTTATTTTTTTCTAGAAAGACCAAATATACCAAAAGCTCAGTGACCTTTTTATTGTATAATGGTCATAAAAGTAAATTAGTTTATAGCAAAAAATAGTTATAAAAATAATATTAACTATTTTTAATATTCATTTAAACGTCCGTTATGGTCGTGACAGGATTTTGTGTTTTTCAAATAAAGATGCTCTTTTAAAAAGAAACTACCAAAGATATTGCGTTACCATGGACATTTTATGAAACTTCAAATGATAATGAAATAAAAAAAATAATAAAAGTTTTGAAAAAAGGGGAAAAGAATTTGCAAAGTGCTTTTCCTGAAAACGTACGTTTTTAAATTTTCACTCTTATATATGTGCAACAATAAAATGTGTAATGCGAATAAAATATGCAAACGTTTATATAATATGCAACATAGGACATGGACCCAACCCTTATGCACCCAACCCCCGTTCACCTTGCCCAGAACTATCTTTCTTTTACATTACAGTAGACTCCCTCTTATCCGGGCTCCTCGGGACCAAGCCCAGTCCGGATAACGGGTTTTCTGGTTAAACCGACGTCCCCAAAAACTCGTCAAAACGGACGGTTTAAATGTGTATTTTACTTAAATTTATGAGAGCATTGTATTTAGACACGTGATCACTGGTCTCAAATCTTTCCCACGAAAACGGTCGTTTCAGTACCGCCCACTTCCTGCCGATCTATTCCGGTTAAACCGATGTGCTGATAAAAATTGTCCGGTTAAAGAGATGTCATTTCTGCCGAGTGCATTCCGTTTAAACCGATGTACGGTTAAAAGGTGTACGGATAAGAGAGAGTCTACTGTAGTGTATAAAATAAAAATAAAAAAGTTTTTTGGGGAAATTACAGTTAAATAGTGGACAATACGAAAGGATCGTTTTCGACCTCTGTAGTAGTGCGAGTCCCAGAGTGTTCAGGGTACAGAAAATACCCCATAATTTATGTTGTAATGCAAAACTAACTATCACAATTAATTTAACAGGCATAGATACTAAATGTTCCTAAAGTTCATTACTTTAACACAGTTTGAAAACTTACTTGAACACCGTATATTTACCTAAATGCTTTAATCAATGGTTTGCTATCAATATCTTGAGTTGTAAATACTGTTGACAGTTCTTCAATAATGTCTCTGTAGTTTTCATTAGCTAAGAAAAGTTCTTGGTGACGTTTCAAAAATTTTGAAGTTGCTTGTCGGTCTAGTCCTCCTCTTAGTATTTCCAAATACAGGTGGCAAAGCAATGGAAACAGCATCGTCTGAAGTTCATGCTTACACTTTCCTTCTGGTAAGTCTACTATCCATGACTTTAGCCTGCAAAAGAAAGTATGTATTAGACTAAACATGATATATTATTAGATGTAGGCTATTTGTAGATTTTTAGGTATGTCCCCAGGTTATAAGTAAAATATATTTCTGCAAAATTTACAAACCTATAATAACTTAAAATAGTTAGGCCTACACTATATGGAAATATTATAACGGTTTAGTTTCACAATCCGCACTAAACCAGAAAGGTAACAGAAAAAAAGCTAGCATCAGTTTTACACTGGCGTAAGTTGAAACATTAAACACATTCAAATTACAGTCCTTTCTCACTGAACTGTCCTACTAGGCTACTTTTGTTAACTATCGTACTATAGCGGTTCTTCTTTCAATCTCTTATTTTACTGACATTAAATTTTGAGCTAACTTACTTTTAAAATTTAAAAGTAGCTCAAGATAATAAGTTTCCTCTTTTTCTAAACTCTTCAAGGCTTTCAGTTTTTCCATTAAAACCACCTGCAAGGAGGTATGAAGTTATGATGAGGTGACTAACTTTGTTGTATGCAACGTCAGATGAAACAGTATGGTGAAGTATAAACACCTTGTGGTGGCTTACTTTTAAGTAGGCTAGGTAGGCTACAGACGAGTGCAAAAGTGGATTGTCTAGACTCACCCACTACATTGTTTAGTTAAGTTAGGCCACAAAGAAATAATAACTTACAGTATTGGGGTTATTATTTTCCATCACATAATCAAGTTAATGAGTTACCGGTACTCTGAAAGCAAAATAACATTTTATGAAGTTGAAAGTTAAAGTCCATCTTACTTTGTGAATTGTTGTTCGGCTAGTGTAATGTCGTTGCTTATTGTGCTGAAAATTATAGAATTTAGTCGGGAGGCATCTTTCTCTACGGCTGCAGCTAAGGTCATTTGCTTGCAGGACTGACTTAAAACCAGATCTGATTTCCTGAAGTGATCCGCATCCTGGAAGAAAATTTAAATTAGATTACAGCTCGTTTACAGCTAGAATAGTATTTATTGATCAAGTAATCAAGTATTTTATTGGTCATTAAATAATCATAGATTAGGACAATAGACCTCGTCAGAGACACACATATAAAACAATAGCGATACATTATCACAGTCACATTTTTGCATACAAAATAGAAAGGCTATCATATCACAGACGTTACAATAAATAAATAGCTGTACAGTTAAATAGATAGAAAAAAACATGCATAGAGTTATAAGATGAATAAGAATACTGAATAAAATATAATGACTAGAATATCATGTTGGCACTTTCTACAAAAAACTCATTCAAGTCATAACAGGGGTGGTCCATAAGCCATTCTAACAACTTGTTTATTTATTTATTCATATCAACGGATACACCATTTACAAAATATGTGTTTTAAGCACATGAGCAGAATGAAAAGATAACAAAAAAAAATAACAAGATAAGTAACATAATGACCATGAAACAAAGCAGCATTGCAACAAAAATAATAACAAGAAAACAACAACGTGGCAAAAAATTACAGATAATAACATTAACAAAGTATTGTACAGATAATAACAAAAAAAATTTTTATTAATTTGGACTTCAGAAAAAGCATAGTAGTCGGAGAAATATAGGATATGACCTTAAAAAAATTGCAAGAAAACGTTTTATGGTTTTATTTTGTAGAGTTGGGTTTGCAGAATGACATACTAAAAGTTGCCAAAAATCGGTGCACGAGAAATCCACTAAAATCAAAATTTAACATGGCGGCTTTTTCCAACATTGGGCAAATTAAAAAAAACATATTTCACATGCATTTGTTATGCACATTTTTTGAGATATTGACTTGGGACCACCGCCTGTATTTATTGGGTGGTTAGTACTTCATTTTTATAGGAAACATGTTTTTGGCCGCCATCTTGGATCCGCCATATTGGACATAGATATTTTTTTTTCAATATAATGATAGTGTTGTGACACATCATTATCAACTACATTTTTACACTGATTTCAATGCCGAAATCCGTTTTTAAATATCTTTATTCATTTAGAAGATATATTCAAACGAAAACTCTCCACCATACATTTCTTATGGACGTTTCGTAGTTTGATAATTGTTTTAAAAATTATTTTTCTTATATCTCCAGTTCTTATTGACGCTTGTAGTTCATTCTAGGCTTAAAATATTCAGTAATGTAAGGGCTTTCATTTGAGCTCTTGATCATTAAAATCAGACGAGTTAAAGACCAGCTACGAACCTCAGAACAATATTAAATTTAACTTTTTAGAAATATATTTTTATTAAAAGGTTTATAACTCGGGTTGTTAATACGACACAAAGTTATTTTTGGTCTCAAATTACTCAGTAAATGTTTGGCTTTGATTTTATTGATCATTAAACAAAATCTGACAATTTTAAAATGAGTCATGGACCATAATTTAACATTAAAATGTATTTATATTGAAATTTGTCTTTAGTTAAAGACGTATATCCCCAATTCTAAATAACTCCCAAAACTCTTTATAGTCTTAAATAATTCGCCAAATTATTGACTTTTATTTAAGCTATGGATTACTTTCCGGGAGTTATTAGGGTTGGGGATATATGTCCTCAACTAAAGACAAATTCCAAAATAAATACATTTTAATGTTAAATTAAGAACCATGACTCATTTTAAAATTGTCAGATTTTGTTTAGTGATTAATAAAATCAAAGCTAAACATTCACTGAGTAATTTGAGACCAGAAAGAACTTGGTGACGTGTTATCCCTATGTAAGTTTGTTTAGTTTGCTTGGACTATAGGAGATTTTGAAAATAACAACAATAAATATCTCCTCAAGATTTAACAAAATATAAACTATGATGACATTAAGTTCTACGTGAAAAAATAACAACAAACAACAATAAATCTATGAATGAATAACAAGAATAAAAGAGATTTAGGAAAAACAAACAAACATCAGCTACAAAACAGGCATAACAAAGATAATGTTGGAGCATATTCTTCTGAAGGAAGACAACTGTTCATTGAAGAAGTCAACTTGTGATCCGACTTCGTTTCCAAGACGCTGCAATCTGGCCAATCCACAATTGAGAGAGTAGTTAGTTGGTAAGTAACTTGTGTTTGATTTGTTTGCTTGATAGGCCTAGCCAGGTGTTAGGAAGGGCGTTTACAATTTTAACTGATCCACAAATTGTTATGCATGTAATTGATTGTACAAATAGCGATTTTGCCGTAAACAAATAAATAAATTAAATTAGATCTTGTAGTTTTAGTTTTTGTTACCTAAATATGCCTACAAATTGTTAGCCCTCAGAATGGAAATATCTATCAAGGTATTTATGTACCTAACTTATGTAAAATGCCTCAGTGCACTCCATGTTTGATAAACTTTAACTTAACAGTCAATAATTATTAAATGAAAGGTTCTCTGCAGAACTGTACCCCTCCAAGTAAGCTTTGATATGTAAAAACTGATTTCTGATAAATTGGATGATGACACTTAAGTTAACAGGTTAGGCATAACTTAGGCCTACTCACAATAATAAAAAAATTGCATGAAGGTTTAATAATAGAATCGATAGTTTCAATTAGCATTACCCAGTTAAGAAACTGTATCCGGATACAAACGAAAAAAATATGATTATGTAAAAAAATAATCCACTAATATTTTTTTTGGCAAACTATCATAAAGACATTAATTCCTAACTTGCAATAGGCCTAAGTCTCCCAAGAATGTTTATTTAAGGTTAGGACTAGGCCTACTTACCATATAATGTCTTCTTCTTAAGTACGAATTTAGAGCACTTTTTACCAGATCATTACCTGATCGTTTTTTAAAGTCATTTTCATAAACATTTACATACGTACAGTTCATGTCTTGAAATAATTGTATTGTTTCTTGTAACTTGGTTGAGTTGATTAGCTAGCTATAGCTAAGGTGATCATTACGACCACTGCCACTGTGAGCTAAAATTATTATAACTGGAGGTAGCACTGCCATGGCAGAAGTCTGTCAAAAGCGTGTCGCTGATTTTGTTAGGTTGGTATAGCAGTGAGTTTTTTTATCCAATAACATGGCTTCTATAACTTGGTTGGTATAGCAGTGAGTTTTCTTATCCAATAACATGGCTTCTTATAACTCACACCTCACGCAAACATGGCAGCTGGCGACACGCATCTTTGACATTCAGTGCTACCTCCAGTTAGAATTATAGCTCAGTGATTACGACAGGTTCATTTCATTCTGATTCTGAACTGACACAGTGACACTTGACACCAGCTTGACACTGACAGATTCCGGACCAGAATTCAGTAAGGCTACGGCCACACGGACGCGAGCCTTTCAAGACCGGAAAATGCCACGCTTCTGCAATGCTTGAGAAATAAATTGAATGAACTTGAACTGTTATGTGACCTAAACAAAATAGAAGTATTGTGTGTGGCTGAACACTGGCTAGTTTTGGACGAGGTACAATACTATAGCAACATCTTTAACCTTGATCTCGCCACATATTTCTGTAGAAAAGCACCTACTGGTGGGGTGGCTATATACGTCAAATCCGATATGAGGTATACCTGTTTGGACCTAAGTGACTTCTGTGAAGAGTATGAAGGTGAGTTTGCTGCGGTTTTAATGCATGAGTTTGACCTTGTAGTTGTAGCCATGTATCGGTCTCCTAATGGATCTGTTGAACGTTTTCTTCTGTTACTCGAACTCTGTTTGACATATTTGATTTCTCTGAATCTGTCAGTTGTGGTAGGTACAGATCATAACATTGATTTACTGAAGTCAAATGGTGATGCCGCTGACTTCCTGAACACATTGCGTAGTTTTGGTTTCTATAGTAGTGTTATTGAACCAACCAGAATGAATGCCTCTTTAGACTCTTTCATCACTAACTTAGATTCGTGGAACTATGAAGTAACTGTCAGTAACGACCAAATTGCAGATCACAAGCACATTTTCTTAAAGTTAAAGCTCTGTAATGGACAAAAAGACTGTGAAAGCCCTAAGCTGATATCTGTAAAGTTTAGATTGTTCAACGATGTTCGCTTGGGTTTATTTTGTGATGACATTGCTAACCATATGGATCTGTGGTTCAATGAAGTTTGTGCGCTCCCACCAAACACTGCATTTTCAAATTTCTTTTCTAAATTTAAGGACAAATTTGATTTTTACTTCCCATTAAAGCAAAAAACAGTTAAGTCAACTGATAGAGTATCTGACGGTGCCAAAGGAAAGATTAAGAATTGGTATTCTGAGGAGCTTGCTGGTTTAAAAAGGTACATTTTGCTAGTGCTTGATATGTCTAAGGATAGGCCTGATCTTATCCCATATCTTCGGGAATTGAGGAGAGAGTATCGACTCCAACTCCGCGAGGCAAAGCAGCGTGCAGCGGCTGACATGATCTCCACTGCTGCAAACCCATGCAAGGCAGCTTGGGACCTGATCAACCAGAGCAGGCCCAGTACCAGAGTTGCCGCTGACCTTGACTTCGCCACGGCGGATGACTTCAACAGCTACTTCTTGGACTCAGTGGATAGTATTGTTGATGGTATTCCTGTAAATAATACTGATTATCTTGATAACATACCTGTTGTAGATGTAAATTATGAATGGAGTATGGTCAATGCTGTCGATATTGTCAAAATCGTAAACGGTTTCAAATCCTCAAAAAGTAAGGATATCTTTGACATGTCGACTGAGTTTTTGAAAAAAATTGTAAATGTGATTGCACCTTTGTTGGCTCATTTGATTAACTGTTGTTTGTTGCAAGGTGTTTACCCTGATGTGCTAAAAACATCCAGAACTGTTCCCGTATATAAAAAGGGCCCTAAAAAAGATCTTTCTAGCTATAGACCAGTGTCTTTGATACCTGTTTTAGGTAAAGTGTTTGAGGCTGTGATGTTGCAGCAGCTGAGTAACCACTTTGAGGAGCACAATCTCCTTGTTCCTGCCCAGCATGGCTTTCGGAGGGGTTTTTCGACTGTTTCGGCAGTTGACTCCCTTGTGAGGGTCATACTGGAGGCATTTGAAAGCAAATCTTCTGTTTCTGTTTTGCTGTGCGATTTGTCTCGAGCATTTGATTGTATACCACATGATATTTTACTTAAAAAACTACAAAAATATGGGTTTGGCGAGAGTGCCCTCAAGGTGGTCAATTCATATCTTGCAGATAGATTCCAAATTGTAAGTTGGTCAGGTGTTCATTCAGGCGCCCTGCCAGTCAAACACGGGGTGCCCCAGGGCTCAGTACTGGGGCCTTTTTTGTTCATTATAGCAATGAATGACCTCTGTTTTTCTGTTTCAAACGATGTACTGCTCTATGCTGATGACACAACCTTGTTTGCAAAGCACATTGATCCTGTAATTGCCAGTAACTCCGCAAAAAGATTGTTTAACATAGCTTCTGAATGGTTTTCAGGGAACAAATTGGCTCTTAATGACAAGAAAACCCAAGAAATAATGTTTAGCTTAAGTAAAACTAATTCTGTTTGTGACTCTGTCAAACTCTTGGGCTTTACTTTGGACTCTGAGCTTGTGTGGGATGAACATGTCAACGCCCTATGTACTAAACTTAACAGAGTAATTTGTCTTTTGAGGAAATTAACATCTGAATTGCCTCCTGACTTTGTGAGACTAGCATTTTTCTCTTTTTTTCAGTCACACGTTGTGTATGGAACCAGGCTTTGGGGTCACTCCCCACAGGTTCAGAAGGTCCTCTTGCTACAAAAAAGAGCAATTCGTGTGATGTGTAATTTGCCTTTTAGAGCACATTGTAGAACATTTTTTGTTGATATGCAGATCATGAGTGTCATCAATGTATATATTTACCAGTGCTTAGAAGCTATCAAATCGATGGAAAATGATCTTATTTTCAATAGAGACATCCATCCGTATAGCACTAGAACTTGTAATGATGTACATACTCCTAGCAACAGGCTAAGTAAAAGTCAAAAGTGTTTCCCTGTTTCAGGTTTCAAATTTTTCAATGCTCTGCCTGTTACCATTAGAAACTTGCCAAAATTGAAGTTTATGAAAGTGTTAAAGAATTGGCTGGTAACAAATCCTTTTTATAAATTTGACGAGTATTTTGAGGCTTTGAAGGGTTAAAATATCATGTAGTGCATGGACCCGATGATAAAAAAAGGTATGCCTAATTTTTATTTACCTTTGCATGGTTTGCTGTTTTGATTTGCAGTTTTGTTTGGTTTGTTTTCCTTTTTATATTTAGTTTTATTGAATTTTTATTGTACTTTGACGTAGCCTATTGTACAAACTTAATGGCCTAATAAAATCTTTGAATCTTTGAATCTTCTGCGCATGCGCTAGTAACTGGTGGCGTAGCAGCAGCTATTTCAGAAAGTTACGGTCACTAACCACTATGCCACTAACTAGCGTCGTCCGTCGTTTCGTTGTCGTAGTATTTATCTTGACTGCACTGCAACTGCAACTAGTTCCTCATAATTATTATTCATATCGTTTGTTATTCTTTATGTTATGATCGAGTTATGTCTGAGTTGAAGTTGGGGTTAATGTTATTGATAGATTTTGATTGCTGCTGTGTTGCGGAGGTCATTTATTATCGATGATGTGCTCCTTCTTCAATGCGAAGATTCTGAGAAATACGAGTAATGGAAGACATCAATAACACTGTAGTACTTTGTAGTTAATGTGGAAAAGTTTATTTTTAGTTTATGGACGAGAAGTACAGAAGGATTCCAATTAATAAGCCAGCTATGTTCAACAAGGCAAGGCCAATAAAATAATTTGTTTTATTCACTAGCGCTTTTGAATGGAAACCTAGTTTCTGAAAGCGCTAGTGAATAAAATAAATTATTATGTATTAGTGTTGTTGAACATTTAAATGTTGTTATACATTTCATTAAAAGCAAGATGCCAATAATTCTCAAAAAGCTTAGACCATTAAAAATGAAATGAGAATTGGGATCTTCTCTTTTGGAAAACATGTTTGGGTACAATTGAAGATAGCCTAGATGATAACGGTAACGTAGCCCACCCAAGTTACTTATTTATTTTTTTTTTAAATAAAGGAGGTGCCAGAGGTTACAAGTAAAGTAACACATACATAAACATAACCTGTAAAATTCTTCATTCAGTTACAGTAATTAAATGGTTTGGAGTTAAGCGCGTGAGAACCGTTCCTGTTTCAAGTAGATTGTTGCAAGAGTTGCAGTGAAGATACTAGTGTGATTTTCTGAAACAGCTGCAGCTGTTACAAGTGCTACGAATAACGCTTACTTGCGCATGCGCAGACGCGCGGCATTTTCCGGTCTTGAAAGGCTCGCACACGGCGATGGGTGTTTTTTTTCACGCGGTGAAATGTAGCTTATTTTCACGCTGCTTGATTTCCCGCTGTTGTATGCCAGACGTGCGTTTTTTTTTCACGCGGTAAAATGTAAATGTAGCTTATTCTCACGCCGTTGAAGTCCAGGAGCGGGAAAATGCACTCGGAACCCGCAGTTGATTGACGAATTCACGTAATTATGTTGTATATCTTCCTAATGGCCGAAATAGTATCCTTGTTTTCTACGGTTGTCGATAATATGGAACCCACCCTTTCTGACTAGTGAACAAGAAATATGAATGGTATATTAATTTTGGTACGAAAACAACACTAAAATGATTTTATTATGCTGACCTTTCATTTAATTATTTACATTTAGTACAAAAAAAATATAATATAAATATGTTTATGACTTTCATCAGATCATTGAATATTTTACTACATAAATGCCTCTTTACATTTTTTAGTCCAACTAAATTCCTTTCCTTTTAGCAACATTTATTAAGTAGTACAGTAAGGTCGACCTATGTTTGAGATAAAACGTGTAGGCATACCGTGTAATTGGCTAGACCCAAAAATAGTTACG